TTCCTCCCCCCCGACCTCCCTCCTCCCCCCACCCCCTTATCCCTGCCCCCCGTACCGGTGGTGAAGGTGGCGCTGGCGGGGGAGCTGCGGTTGCCCCCCGTCACCCCGTGGACGCTGACCAGATACTCGGTGTCGAGCCGCAGCCCGGACAGGGGGTGTTCGGCCCGGTCCCCGGGGAGCCGCAGCGTCACAGCGGGACCTGGGGGGAGAGCTGGGGTGAGGGGGGGCCGGGCTGAGCTGCCCCCCCGCGATGATGAGGTCGTGGGGGTGCCGGGGGGAGCCCAAAGGAGCCGGGCCGGGCGATGGGGGACCGGGCTGCAGGGACCCTACAGCCCAGCGCCCCGGAGACACCCGTGCCGGCCGCCCGGACCCAGGGCAGGCGGGTGAAGGACCCCAGGGACCCGGGTGCCAGGGGCGGAGCCACCCGCCGGGGGAGGGGAGTGACGCTCTGCCCCCGCACTCACCCTGGGGGGGCCCGTAGCTCAGCTCGTAGCTCTGGACGGGGGCCCGGGGCGGGCGCCAGCGCAGCAGGGCCGAGGTGTCGGCGACGTTGACGGCGCGCAGGTCCGAGGGGCCGTCAGGGACTGCGGAGAGAGTGCAGCACGTCAGGGAGAGCAGCCCCCGCAAAGGGGACCCAGGCGTCCGGCCGGCGGGGGGGGGGGGGAAGGGAGGGGATCCAGGCATCTAGGGGAGTGGCAAGGGGACAGGACCCAGAGATCCCGGTGGTAGGGTGTGGCACTGGCCCTGCATGGGAAGGGACGGGACCCAGGTGTCCGGCGCTGGCCCTGGGACAGGGGATGGGACCCAGGCGTCCGGTGCTGGCCCTGGGGCAGGGGAGGGGACCCAGGTTTCCGGCCAGTGGCCCCGGGGCAGGGGAGGGGACCCAGGCATCCAGCTGGTGGCCCCTGGGCAAGTGAGGGGACCCAGGTTTCTGGCCGGAGGCCCCGGGGCAGGGGAGGGGACCCAGGCATCCGGCCAGTGGCCCCGAGACAGGGGAGGGGACCCAGGCATCCAGCTGGTGGCCCCAGGGCAAGTGAGGGGACCCAGGTTTCCGGCCGGAGGCCCCGGGGCAGGGGAGGGGACCCAGGCATCCAGCCAGTGGCCCCAAGACAGGGGAGGGGACCCGAGGCAGGGAGGGGACCCAGGCGTCCAGCCCTTACCCGTGGTGACGTAGCCCACCAGCGGCTCGCTCTCCTCGAAGCCCCGCACGGCCATGACGCTCACCTCGTAGCTGGCCCCGGGGATCAGCCCCTCGAGCGTCGTCTGCAGCCGGGTGCCCTCGACCATGGTGCTCTGCGGCTCCCCTGGGGCGACAGTGGGTCAGGACGCGCTGGGGGCGGGGCCACGTGTCAGGGGTGGGGCCAGGGGAACTGTGCTGCAGGGGGTGGGGCCAGGGCACAGGGCCAGTAGGGGGCGCTGTTCTGCAGGCAGTTCTGGGGGGGGGGCTCTGGGGGTCTGTAGGGGGCATTTTGGGTGCTCAGTGCGGGGTGCTATGGGGGGGGGGCACAGTGCTGCAGGGGCCAGCGTGGGGCGGCAGCGTGGGGCGCTGTGGGGGGTCGGTTTGGGGCGCTGTGGGGGGCAGCAGCAGGCACTGTGGGGGGTCGGTTTGGGGCATTGGGGGGAGCAGGGGGCACTGTGGGGGGCAGCGAGAAGTGCTGTGGGGGGTCAGATGGGGGACAGCAGAGGGTGCTGTGCGGGGCCAGTGAGGGACGCTGTGGGGGGTCGGTTTGAGGTGCTGTGGGGGGCAGCGAGAGGTGCTGTGGGGGGTTGGTTTGGGGCATTGGGGGGAGCAGGGGGTGCTGTGGGGCACTTACCCCCGTGACGCAGCTGGAAGGACACCTTGTAGCGGTCGACGCGGGTGGACGGGGCCTCCCAGGTCACCCCCACCGAGGTCTCACGGACGTCGCTGAAGCGCAGGTCCCGGGGGCTCTCCAGCTCTGGGGAGACATGGGGGTCAAGGGGGACCCATGGGCCCTCAGCCGGAGCCAGCCGGGGGGCCCTTCCCAGCGTGGCCACTGGGGGGCAGCACCAGCCTGCGGAGCCCCATCCCCCTTTCAGCTGGGGGGGGGTTGAGACCCACCGAGGCACCCCATCACCCCCCCAGCATTCATCCAGCCGCCTGACCCTCCCTCCATCCTTCCATCCGTCCTGTCCCTTCCCCCTCCCCGCTCCGTGGCTCTGGCCTCCTGGCCTGGGAGAGGCCTTGGGCCCACCCAGCTGCCCAATTCCCCCCCCCGCCCCTCTCACCAGGGATGGGGCGCTGGGCTGCGGGGACAGGCTGGGGGCAGCCGGGGGCATTAGGCTGCTGAGACACGGGGGCAGCCGGGCTCGGGGCCACAGAGAGA